AGCAGCTATCAAATCCCCCCTCATTCTTCTCTTCCGCAGACTAAACAATCCCAGTTCCCTCAGCCTCTCATCATAAGTCATGTGTTCCAGTCCCCTAATCATTTTTGTTGCCCTCCGCTGGATGCTTTCCAATTTTTCCACATCCTTCTTGTAGTGTGGGGCGCGAAACTGGACACAGTACTCCAGATGAGGCCTCACCAATGTCGAATAGAGGGGAATGATCACGTCCCTCGATCTGCTCGTAATGCTCCTTCTTATACATAAGATGATCCATTCACTTTGGCAACTAACTGCATTGCCTCTGTAGTGCTGTTGCCTTAGCTGGCCGATGGAATAAGGAATCAAATAGATTCACAAGCAGAACTGTTGCATACTCTCACAAATTATTGTTGTTCTACCTCTTGGTCAGCAGCAGTGTCCCCTCTAATTTTTCCCATGCGTGTATGGAATAATTTTGTTATGTGTACCAATATGGAGGTGATGGTTGGGATGGGTTGGAGCCGGTGGAGGGGCACCTCTTCCCCAGCTGCAGTGGGTCCGGGGCTGGGCTGGGGCTGGTGGGGAGAGGCGCTTCCCCCTGCTGCGGCAGGTCCGGCGCTGGGGGAGAGGCATCTCTCCCTGTTGCAGCACCCTAGCTATCTAAAACCAAACACAAACTAGACAAGGATGATGAGTGCTTGCTCATTTCTAGGGTGACCTGACAGCAAGTGGGAAAAATCAGGACAGGCGGTGGGGGGTAATAGGCGCCAATATAAGACAAAGCCCCAAATATCAGGACTATCCCTAAAAATCGGGAATTCTGGTCACCCTACTCATGTCCATTCTAAGTAGGTGTGTACGCACGCCACGTGCATGGTTGTCAGGTTTTTCCCTTAGCAACACCTGTCGGGTCACCTGTGGAGCCTCCTGGAGTCACAGCTTCATGGTGCTGTATATTGGGCCCTGCCGACCCCCCACCTCTTCTGTTCCTTCTTACCACCGTGACGGTCATTGGAGCTGCTTTTCTCTCTTACTGTGACAAGCGATTCTCTAGTGGACATTTCTCTTTATATCCTGTAAATAGTTAGTTTACCCTCCTAGACCTGTCAATGGACACACCGATCACCATGCCCGGGGTCCTGGACTTGATCACTGAGGACCACGGCCACCTCTGGCATCCCAGCCTTGAGTCTATTCACCTCACCGTATGGAAACTCCATGGATAAACCCCTTGGAGTTGGCATGCTCAGACCCTGTTAGAGAGGTCTTCCTTGGCAGCAGGAAACTATCAACTATGGTCACTTAGTTAAGTGGAAGAGAATTCTCCATTGTGTCATTACAAAAGGACACTCCCCCTTTACAGTCTTTCAGAGTGGTAGCCGTGTTAGTCTATCAGCAAAAACAACTAGGAGTCCTTGTGGCACTTTAGAGACTAACAGTTTATTTGGGCATAAGCTTTCATGGGCTAGAACCCATCTGATGAAGTGGGTTCTAGCCCACGAAAGCTTATGCCCAATTAAATGTGTTGGTCTCTAAGGTGCTGGAAGGACTCCTCGTTGCTTTTACAGTCTTTGGTTCCCTTTATCCTGGGCTGTTTATTACACCTGAACAGCAAGGCCTGTCGGTGTCGTCAATAAAGGTCCACCTGGCTGCAATCTTGGCCTTCCATCCCAGATTTGCCAGTCTATTGGTTTTTGCTAACCCAATGGTTGGCCACTTCCTCAGAGGACTAGATAGACCGTACCTCAAGTAAGATAACTGATCCCTGCATGGGATCTTAACTTGGTACTTCCAAGTCTGATGTGGGGGCTCGCCTCCGAGCGCTTAGCTACATGCTCACTTCTTTACCTTTCCTGGAAAGTAGTGTTCCTGGTGGCTATAACTTCAGCCAGGAGGGTGTCTGAGCTTAAGGTCCTGACTGCTGAACCTCCATATACTGCCTTCTGTAAAGACTACGTTCAGCTACGACCCCACACGGCCTTTCTTCCAAAGGTGGTTTCGCAATTCCATGCAAACTGACATTTTCCTTCCAGTTTTCTTCATTAAGCCACCTGTCAACAACTGGGAGCGAATGCTCTACTCCCTGGACGTCAGGCATGCATTGGCCTTTTCTGTCGAAAGAACTAAGCTGTTTAGTAGATCAACACAACACTCTGTTGCAATTGTGGAAAGGATGAAGGGGCTTCCAGTGTCGTCCCAAAGGATATCCTCATGAATCACAGCCTGCATCTGGGCATGCTATTACTTGGCAAAGATACCTGCCTCTGCTCTGACAGCGCACTCCACAAGAGCACGAGCATCCTTGGTGACATTCCAAGCTCAGGTCCCCATTCAAGATATCCGCAGGGCAGCAACATGGTCATCAGTCCACACCTTTACGTTGCACAGCACCATTACACAGCAGGCCAGAGACGGTGCCGCATTTCGAAGAGCGGTGATGCAGTCTGCGACCTCCATCCTCCTAGCGAATGTTTGGGTGTCACCTACTTGGAATCAACATGAGCAAGCACTCGAAGGAAAAACGGTTACCTACCTTTCGTAACTGTTCTTTCAGATGTATTGCTCATGTCCATTCCAAGACCTACCTGCCTCCCCCTCTATTGGAGTAAGCGGGCAAGAAGAACTGAAGAGGCGGGGTGGTGTGTGAGGGGAGGGACGTGGAGGCGTCGGCGGGGCCTTATGTATGGTACTATGAAGGTGCAACTCCAGGGGGCTCCACAGCTGACCTGACCGGTACCAATAGGGGAAAAAACCTTCCAGTGACTCTGCACACGGTGCGCACACACCTGTTTGAAATGGACATGAGCAGCACATCTCAAACAGTTACAAAAAGGTAGATTACTTTTTTTTTTTTTCAGGCTCTCTGCAATTTCAGGCAAGTGTCTCTGCATTGGTTAGAATTGTTTCATATTTTGGAGGGTTTCTTCGTAACCATAACAGCTAGACCTATTTTTTTTCATTAAAGCTGAGGGTCCAGAGAACAGCTGAAGCATCTTTGTGCCACTCTGGTGTGGCTTATTCTTCCTGCCATGTCAAAAGGCGTATCCCCCATTTAGGGAAATACTGGTTTATTTTGTGTCTTCCCGCCCCTCACCCCCACATTAATAAGAATATATGCTGGCACAAGGGATTAATACTCCACATGACTGCAGGGGGAAGAAGGGAATTAATCTTTCTTGTCTTTTATTTTGTGGTGGTTGAATATGCCACTTTGAAAACATCACAGTAGTAGAAAATACTCTTGAGCCTGCTTAGTAGTCTAATACTTAATACTGCATTGTCTTGTATAACACATCAGTTGAACTTTGAGGATACTTTTCAGAGTAACAGCCGTGTTAGTCTGTATTCGCAAAAAGAAAAGGAGTACTTGTAGCACCTTAGAGACTAACCAATTTATTTGAGCATGAGCTTTCGTGAGCTACAGCTCACGAAAGCTCATGCTCAAATAAATTGGTTAGTCTCTAAGGTGCTACAAGTACTCCTTTTCTTTTTGAGGATACTCACATTGAATTAGCAATAGACATCCTTGTGGTTTATTAAAGGACTTGCATCTAGCCATCCTTAGGTGGCTGCAAACCGGACCCTCTGGCTTGGGTTTGTAAAGGAGGCAGATTCTCAAGACTTTACATTGGCTATTCAGGACTCTTCAAGCTAAATCATAGTGGCTTTTTACAGTTTTGCTTTTGAGATTATTAATACAGTAGATGAAACCTATGGCTATAATAATTGCAGAGTAGGTTAAATCAGTGTAATAATTTTTAGAAACCTTACATTAATATAGGATGACATAAATAGCTTAGCATTTGATTTTGTTAAATTTACGTATTTTACAACGCCAGGATGTGTTGCTCATGTCCATTCCAAGACCCCTCTGTCGGAGCAATGCCGGTAAGAAGGAACTGGAGAGGTGGTAGGTCAGCAGGACCTTATACATGGCACCACAAAGGTGCCATTCCAGGTGGTGCCTGAAGAGACAGGTACCGCTAGGGGAAAAACCTTCTGGCTACTGTGCATGCAGCATGCACACGCCTAATTGGAATGGACATGAGCAACAGATTTTGATGAACCACAGTTACGAAAGGTAGGTAACTGTTTTATGAGGGCTGAGTATAAAAAGAAGAGAGAAAATGCTTCCAAATCAATAGGTGATACCCAACTGTGTATTAAATAATTACGTTTTTGTTTGAGGGCTGGTGAGGGGGAAATGTGCATAGAGTAATGAAACATTAAGATAGAGTGAATGCTCTGAGATTTCTCCCATCATTCATAAAAGTTGCTGGAGAAGTTTGCATGTAGTTCATGCTTAGCTTGCGGAGAACACAGATGGCATTTGTAAAGCATTTTCATAAATTGCGAAGTAAGTAATTACGAAGTAAGTAATTTTTTATCGTGCAGTAATTTAGGGCACTACTACTTCAGTGCCTGAGACTGATTTCTTCTTCAGTATGCTAAATAAACTTTACCGAGAGAAGAGAGATGATACTGAACACTTGCTTAAATGTAGAAGGAATTGGCACATTTGTTTCTCCATAACAGAACTAGAGGTTTATTTCTGCCACTTATAGGCAAGAGTTTACGCAACTTCAGCTACATGAATAACATAGCTGAAGTCGATGTACTTAGATATACTCACTGCAGTGAGCCGACTGCTGCTGCTCCCCCGTCGACTCTGCCTGCGCCTTTCGCTCTGGTCGAAGGGAGAGTGCTCAGGGATCGATTTATCACATCTAGACTAGATGCGATAAGTCTGCACCCTCTGGATCGATTGCTGCCTGCCGATTCGTGGGTAGTATAGACATACCCTTAGTGTATACTGAATTTAGGGTGTAGTGTTTGACATTTTCAAGTTGGCTGTGAAGAAAACCTGTATCTTTTACTGAGGTTTGAATGGGGCTTCTGGTTTTTCCTTTATTTTAAGGTGCTTTTTTGGCTGCTGCACCAGGAATAAAAAATATACAGCTTTACTAAACTAATAGTATATCTTTCTAAATATATGTGTGGTTTTTTGTTTTTATTAACAGATGCTTTTGTAAATAGCCAGGAGTGGACACTAAGTCGATCTGTACCAGAACTGAAAGTGGTAAGTAATATTTTATATTTACATGTGTTTTCTTTACTTCTGAATTCCATTCTTTCTGCATTTACACAGAAATGGAACATTCGTAAGGTTATATTTTAAAGTCTGCCAGATTTTTCCTTTATAAAAACATTTAGAGGATTTTAAACCTTGAATATAAATCTTAATGGGACATAACGTAAAGACTCCTCTGTCTAAACTTTTAACCTACCACTGTTACTGTTAACACCTAAGAATATTGCTGAGATTGGAGACAATGCTTTTCCCTTTTTTTTCCCCCCCCAGCTTGGTTACTTAGTACAATTAACAGTGTTTTGTGTGTAGTAGTCATTTTCCCAGTGTAACTTGTTTTGTTTTTTGGGGGGTAGAGACCCCTTGCAATAAAGGGGTGTGGGGGGGGAGAGAAAAATGTTTGAAAATAAAAATATTTTAAAATGCAAAAATGGGCAGGTGGACTAGCAGGTACATGTAGTACCTGAACAACTTTTTAGCACTGCTTGAAATTGATCACTTTTTAAGGGGAATGTGTCTATCAGATTCCTCCAGGGTCTCTGCATAGGACCAATCTTTTCAAGGTTCCTTCCCCACTCTGAACTCTAGGGTACAGCTGTGGGGACCTGCATGAAAACCTGCTAAGCTTATTTTTACCAGCTTAGGTTAAAACTTCCCCAAGGTACAAACTATTTTACCTTTTGCACTTGGACTTTTGCTGCCACCACCAAACGTCTAACCGGTTTTATTTTATTAGGAAAGAGCCGTTTGGAAACATCTTTCCCCCCCAAATCCTCACCAAAACCTTGCACCCCCTGGGGAAGGTTTGATAAAAATCCTCACCAATTTGTGTAGGTGACCACAGACCCAAACCCTTGGATCTTAAGAACAATGAAAAAGCATTCAGTTTTAAAAAAAAAATTTCAAAATGAATTGTCTAGCTGAAATGTTGGTTTTTTTCTGTTGTTTTTTGTCAGGACTCTATTTGATTTCCTAAAAGACTGGAGATTAGTGGGAGGCAAGATACCAAATGGTCTTAATGTTAGTTCCAGAAGAATGCGAATTAAAGCAGCCTTTTATAAATTGTTTATTTTTGGCATTACTTTAGCTGAGCTTGAAGAGAGTATAGGTGGGAGATGCCATCGACAAAAGGAATATCTGGAGATAAAAATGCATGGCCTGGATGAGGGAATTTCACAGAGCTGCTATTTTGAAAGCTAAGAACAACGCTAGAGGCAGGAATTGGAGTGTCCCAAATGATAATGGGGTTGATAGAATAGCTGAGAAGTTCCCCTTCACTGTAATGAGGCAGTTTTTGGGTTAAGGATGGAGAAAGAACTTCCTTCCAGCATTCAGATGGTGGCAGGAAGATTTCAGAGTTATCAGGCACCCAAGAGATACTGATACGAAGCAAAAACTGTGTGGAACCTGCTGGGGACAAACTCCTAAGAATCCCAGCACTGAGACACAGAACTAGACTTATTGCCTCTGAATGTCTGCAGCTTGGTGGTGGGAACTTTTTTGTGTGCGCACATTTGACTTCTATCGTGATTTCTGGTTAGTGGGTTGAGTTCTCTGGCTGTTGTGTGGTAATTTTTCAAGTCGAGAGCATAAAGCAGGGCGGGTAAACTTTTTGGCCCGAGGGCTGAATCGGGTTTCTGAAATTGTATGGAGGGTTGGTTAGGGGAGGCCATGCCTCCCCAAACAGCCAGGCATGGTCCGGCCCCCGCCCCCTATCTGAACCCTCCTGATTCTTGCCCCCTGGCGGTCCCCCCCGGGACTCCTGCCCCATCCAAACCCCCCGTTCCCTGATGGACCCCCAGGGACCTCTGTCCCATCCAACCCCCCTGCTCTCTGTCCCCTGACCACCCACAAACCCTCTGCCCCTAACTGCCCCCTGCCACCCCCCCCCTTCCTGGCTGCCCCCCTGGAACCCCTGCCCCATCCAACCACCCTTTCTCCCTGCCCACCCCTGGAACTCCTGCCCCTAACTGCCCCCTGCCACCCCATCTAACCCCCCTCTTCTTCCTAACTGCCCCCTGCTGCCCCATCCAACCCCTGCGCTCCTTCCTGACTGCCCCCCTGGGACCCCTGCCCCCATTCAACCCCCCTGTTCCCTGCCCTCCGACCGCCCCGACCCCTATCCACACCCCCAGCCCCTGACCACTCCCCGAACTCCTCTGCCCTCTATCCAACACCCCCCCACCCGGCCCCCTTACCGCGCTGCCTGGAGCACCAGTGGCTGGCGGCGCGGCTGCACCAGGACAGGCAGCCGTGCCATGCAGCACAGAGCCCCGGGTCATGCCGGGCGCTGCAGCTGTGCTGCCCCAGTAGCTCACAGCCCTCCTGCCCAGAGCATGGCATAAAGTAAGTTACAGTGCAGAAGATCTTGTTGTGGCCCAGAAGAATTGAATCCCCAGTAACTCTCCTGTGAACTCTCAGCCATGTGTCTGTCTGTTCTAGGATATTTAAGTACAGTGGGACTAGAAACACAAGAGTAGCCTCCTCTGAGTTTCCTTTGCCTGTGGGGTTCTTATGACAAACCTCTCTTACTTTTTACCTTGTTGAATTGGTCATAGACTTCTTTTGTCTGCATTATGCTGTTACACCATACGTAGTATGTCAATTGAACCTAGAGTAGCAAACATATACTTAACGGTAGGCATTGGCTATTCCCCAACAGTTCAACACCTTGGGGACTAACCAGTTAAAAAAGCTGGGCATGCTGCATATGCTTGCTGCTTTCAGGCATTGCTGGAGGGCTGGAGGTGAGTAAGGGGCCTCTGTTTGTTTAGTCACAGAGGCTTTGGCTTCATTGCCCTGAAAAAGGCGTTTGCTTCATATCCCTGTTACTGTGGGATGACTAATACACATTAGGATTTTACAGAAGTATAACTAGTGGAGACCAGGCAAATTGTAGTTTTACCTGCCAGGTAAAAAGTCATGGTCAATGCCCTACCCTCATTTGTGGCTGACCTCATCTATTTACTTCACAATAAAAACTCCAGTGCCTGGTCTGGACTAGGGTTTTGCAGCGGGATAGCTGATGTGTGTGTGTTGTCCCTCAGTGAAAACAAAGCCGAAAACAGGATCTCATGCTGTTTGTGCAGGGTTCCACTGCATGTCTCCTTCTCTTTTCTCTATCTTCTCCCCATCCCATTTTTTGCTCGCTTGGGGACTGTGTGTGCATATGAGGTGGATTGTCTGAATTTCTCTTTTGCCTTCACTGGTTTGGGGATATGAAGAAGTTCCCTTGCCACCTCACATTTTTCTTGTGCAACCAGATCAGAGTCTCTCTCTCTCCTGCTGCCTTTTAAAATAGAATCTGCATGACAAAGCTGATATGATTCTGTAAGTTTGTGCAAGGATTTATTCCTGGTCTACATTGCAGAGTTAATTTGATGCAGGGCAGCTTACATCAATGTAGCTATGTGTGCGTATACGCTTACATTTCGCTCCCACCGACGTAACTGCCCTGTTATGCCAACATAATAAAATCACCTCACCCATTGGTGTAGAGTCACGGTCGATGTAGTTAGGTTGATACAGTGTCAGCGTAGCCATTGTGTTACTTACATCAGCGGTTAATGGCTTCCAGGAGGTATCCCACAAAGCCCAGCAGCCAGCTGGCCAGACAACTGTCTCTCGTCTTTAAAGCCCTGTGAATTTTTGAAATTCCATTTCCTGGTTCCCTGGCTTGGAGAGCACACCTAGCAACTGCCTAGCTGACCACACTGGCTACATGCTGCAGATGCTCCCCTGCCTGGAGAAAACAGGAGATGCTGGATTTCCTGGGTCTGTGGGGAGAAGAGGCTTTGCAGGTACATCTCAGATCCAGCCATAGAAACATTGACATCTAGGAGCAGATCACTCTGGGCATGGAGGAGAAGGGCTACAAGAGGGATGAAAAGCAGAGCTGTGTGAAAGCCAAGGAGCTGCAACAGGTGTACCAGAAGACAAGGGAAGCTAACAATTGCTCTGTAAAAGCAGCAAGTTTGTGACTATGCACCAAAAAGCTGCATACTATCCTTAGATGAGACTCCGCCACCACCCCCAAGAGCCCTATGGATACTTCGGAGGAGCCAGAGTCAGAGGCCTCTCCTGTGAACAGTGAAGAGGAGGTGTTGGATGAGGAATTGGAGGAAGAGTAGCATGGGGGGGACAGGTGATTGGGGGGGGCAGCTGCTCAGCGAGCCAGGACATGTTTTTGACTCCAGCGCAGTCCAGCACAGGCGATCCTGATGCAGGGGAAGGCACCTCTGGTAAGTATGCTGTTTGCTTTGAAATTACAGGGATGGAACCCACAAAATAGCAGTACACATCTGTTGATTTACTCTTATTCTAGAAGAGGTAGTGAAACAACTAATAGAGGAAGAGTTATTGTCTGCTTCTCATCCCCCTCAACTGTTAGGCAGAGGGGGCCCCATGGAACACACTATTTATGTGCACCAGGATGTCCCATGAATCTTCATAGATATCGCGATGAAACTTTCCTGGAGTTGTCTGCAATCCTCTGCTGTAGGTTTCTGGGGAGGGCTGCCTTATTCCTTCTTCCGTGGTAGGACACTTTCTCATGCTCCTCAGCGATTACTTGAGCGAGAACCATTGCAGCATAGGGTCCCAGCCAGCAGTCAGCCTCCATTACCCTCAGGGGTGAGAGGTCAGCTAAAATCACCACCGCCTGTGGAAAGTGGTACCAATATTCAGTTCAGTTGCCCTATACAGACATACTCATGACTGTGAGCTATCCCCTCTCATTTCCCCAATTTGCCCCCCACCCCAGGGCTGTGCTCACCATGGCTCATGCTGTATAAATCCCAATGAGAAGTGACAATGTAGTGCTTACAACTTGTGTGGATCAAAGGGAGTGAGTTCAGCCTCCTAAGTTTTGGCTTATCTCATAAATGCACTGACAATGGTACTTCTGTGTATTGTATCTTCAGCAGCTGCAAATGTGGCCATGAGGGTTTCTCCATCCACACCAGTGGAACGGAAGAGCCAGATAAAGAGAA